ACCTCATATACAGGGTTCTCTATCGCAAAGAGAATGCACTGTCGATCCAGATCTTGCACTTTCTAGAGGTATAATTGAACCTTTGTCTACATTGAAGAAAACAAATAGACTGCCTGACACCAATATGGTGAGTAAAAGAATCTTACGTTATATCTAAAATTCCATCAAAGATAGGATTTATAATTTTCTAACGTAAAAAAAAAAAAAAAAAAAAATTAATATTCTCAATATAATCTTTCATCACCAGGTGATTTTAATCGATGCTGTCTGCGAAGCAGAGTATCACAGACCAGATAGAGGCGATACAATAGCATCATTTTTAACGAGGCATGCTCCAAACTTTCCTAGCTGGTTAAAAATTGTCTGCACAGTCAGGACACAATTACTAGAATGCGCCAAACAACTACCTTACACCAGGGTCTCCTTAGATAGAGCCTCAAACGACAGCGCCGGAAGTAACGTGACAAGGGATCTCTCTGATTATATTGGATATAGATTAGCTCAGAGTCCTGCTATTCAAACAAATGTTACTGCATCGGTGAATGGCAAAGCGGAATCATCTTGCAGTGCGAATCAAACCAGATTCGCTTCACATCTACTAGCTTTAGCTAGAGGTAGCTTTCTCTTCGCGAAATTGACGCTCGATCTTATCGAGAGCGGTCATTTAGTGGCTAAATCTGCTAGCTATAAGGTGAATAGAATCTTATTTGTCGATTTAGAAGAATAGAAAGAGAATACAAATTATACGGAGAAATTTTTTAATTTAATACATTTGAAATTGAATGTTTCAGGTACTGCCAGTCTCTTTGGCGCAGATTTTCCAGCTGCACTTCAACCTCAGGTTCCCTACAGCAACATCGTTTGACAAGATTCAACCTCTATTAGGCGTTTGCCTGGCAGCTCTGTATCCCCTAACTTTACCTGAGATCTTCTACTCGGTGAATTCTCTGAACACGGACCATTTCGTTTCATGGGAGGATTTTCTACAGAGATTCAAAGTAAGTTTTTTTTAATAATCAATAGATAAATATCCAAGAAACAAATTATATAATTGATTTATCCACTCTTTCCTGTGGCTACCTTCAAGTGGATTAAGTAAGTCTCAATTATATTTTTCCTTATGATAAAAAAATGTTCTCCGTTTTTATTTTCTCTTTCGCAACCACGAATCCATTGTTGTACGACAACTTATCGTTATCTCTCGTTATCAGATGCTCTCTGGATTCCTCGTGAAACGTCTGGACAATACCTACATGTTCTTCCATCCATCGTTCAGGGAGTGGTTGATGAGAAGGGACGAGGGCGAATCGACCAAGTTTCTCTGCGATCTGAGGTTAGGTCACGCGGCCATCGCGTACAGGCTCTCCAGACTCCAGGCACCGTTAGATGGCGATAAAGCTTTAGAATTGGGTCATCACATATTGAAGGCGCACGTTTACAGAGGCGTTGCTCCGTGCTGGCCTTCGCGCGATCTACAGGTAAATCACCTGTTCCTCATTTGCATTTGTAGGATAAATCTATTTGCGTTACAATAGTATTTCATTTACGAAATTTTTCTCAGGCCATTTGGTTAGCATCGTCCACGGAATGCGTCTCCTCCGCGCTGTGCACACTGAGGAACATCTACAGCCCGAACGTGAAGGTTTCGAGATTGCTTTTGCTGGCAGGAGCATCTCCGAATCACATCACCGAATACCTGGGCAATGCTCCAGCTCTTTGCATGTACGCTCACGAAGGTTCTGTCGAGATGGTATCGTTGTTATTGGAATTTGGAGCTGATGTCGAGTTGACGAATAGCCAAGGATGCACAGCGCTCTCGTTAGCGGCTGCTCGTGGCCATTGCGATGTTGTCAGAAGGTAAGTGAAGTGTAAATGGAATATATAGAAATACAAGGATGCTACAAAGATTAAAATAATATATTCAGTTTTGCGGATATCAAAGGAATGGTTAACAAATTTGAAGATATATTTATATTTTTAATTCAGATTAGCCGCTGCTGGAGCTTCGTTAGGTCACACAGACATGGCAGGACAGTGCCCCTTGGTTCACGCAGCTAGACACGGAAGATTATCCGTGGTTGGTTACCTTTTGGCTTGCGATTGGGTAGTTCCAACCAACGTGAGTGAAACCGAAGGATCTCAAGAAATAGGTAGAGAAGAGGCTGCTCAACAAGCTGTGGTCGCCGCTGCGGCTCAAGGTCACGAATCTATCGTGGAATACTTATTAGACATGGCCGAAGTGATTGTAGATCGTCCTGATACTTTGATAGGCGAGACTGCCTTGACTATCGCTGCTGCAAACGGTTCCACGGCCACAGTTTCAGCATTGTTGGCTCGAGGAGCGAATCCAACAGCTGTGAACGCAAAAGGATTGTCTCCTTTGATGTTAGCTGCAAGAGAGGGACATTGGGGTACGGCTGAAAGACTATTGCAAGGTTAGTGTTAAGGATTGTTACTAAACGTAAGAGAAAAAAGATTGGACGTGAAAATACTCATTACTGTGTGACAAAATGGTTGCAGGAACACTCTCGAGCAGCACCGATACCGTTCTGGACGACGCAGCATCCCTCCTAGATCAACGAGATCCAGCTGATCGTACTGCATTGATGCTAGCTGCCTCAGAAGGTCACACAAACTTGATCGAACTGTTTTTAGACAAAGGATCCGTGCTAGAGAGTAGAGATAAAGAAGGAATGACCGCTCTCTGCTGGGCCTGCGTGAGAGGAAGACTAGCCGCCGTGCAGAACCTTATCGATCATGGAGCTGATGTTAATACTAACGATAATACCGGGAGAACTCCTCTAGATCTAGCTGCTTTCCAGGTAATATTCTTTAAAAAGAACTGTACACTTATTATTACACAATATCAACAAAAATTATATTATCTTAAAATTTATTTGATTTTTGAATCGATGAAATCTGTTATCTATAAGTTAAATCTCACAGTCTTGCGAACAATACAATTCCCAGGGCAATCCAAAGTTGGTGCAATTGTTGCTCGAGAAAGGAGCAGCGGTCGAGCACGTCGATCTCCACGGAATGCGACCTTTGGACAGAGCGATCGGATGTCGAAACATACCCGTGGTACAATGTTCCTACGCCGTGGGGCGAAATTAGGCCCGGCAACCTGGGCGATGGCCGCTGGAAAACCAGATGTTCTCCTCATCTTATTGAACAAACTCCTAGAAGATGGAAACGTCCTCTACAGAAAGAACAGACTGAAAGAGGCGTCGCATAGGTACGCGTATGCGCTACGAAAGTTCCCTGCGTCGCCGGAAGAGGATTGCCAGGGGCAAGAGCAGGGTCACATGATGCTGCAACTCCAGACGTTTGCGCAACTTCGACTGAATTTCTTGCTCAATCTCAGTCGATGCAAGCGCAAGATGAATGTGAGTGGTTGTGTATTGAATGAACTACTATGAGTTTCCTAACACTTTCATTCATATCAAAGCTATCTATAGATATATCGTGTTATGTAATTCTATTTTCTTGTTCGTATCGTTCGTATGAAATAGTTCTCGAATAGAAAATATTTTGAAACTTTAAATTTATTTTAAAATTATTTAAAATTAAATTTTGACGTTATTTTTTTTTTTTTTTCATTTTTATTTATTTATGCAGGAATGTGCGGAAGCAATCGAGCTCGCTGACGAAGCTCTAAAAGTTCGTCCAGTATCGTACGAAGCATTTTACGCGAGGGCAAAAGCACGAGTTGATTCAGACTTCCTGGAGGACGCATTATCCGACGTCCAAGAGGCATTGCAAATCGCACCACCGCAAAATCGACAGGATCGGCGGGTTCTCGTTACTCTGAAGGAAGAGATAGTTTCTAGATTGGATGGAGTAGGGACCAGCAAAGGATCGCTTGATTCTACCAGCAGATCTCGTCTTCGAGCGTCAGTCGACACTCTCACAGAATTGTAAAATTATCTATTTTTTGTCTCTCAAAAGACTTTTGATTGCCCACGTTTAAGATATCGTCCTTTCTTTCATAAAAGGAATGATTATATGCAAGCAATATGAAACACTTCTTGCATGCGTATCTAATTTATAAGTTGATTTTTCTTGAACTGAACTCGCGATTCCTAGAAGATTTTTTTTTAAAAAGATAATACGGTTTAGGATTTGCTTTCGAAAAATATTTGGAGGCAATTCGAAACATTCAATTAAATTCGAATGAAGTATTTTGTTTATTTCCTTCTTTTTTTATTTTTTTTTTTATTTTGTTAATTTAACTCATTGACTTATTGCGTACGTTGTACGTACTCAAAGAAATATTCCTTCCCTATTGCTTGATTCATTTTTGATAATCAGCAAGGATTTATATATGTTTTTATTCTTTTTTCTTCTGTGCAATTGTATTGCATGACCGTGTTAGGATTTTGTACTATGTCCAATTCGATTCCAAATCGAATACAGAGTTAATATATATACGTTTTTCTTATATATATATACACATATTATATATATATATAGTAAATATATATATAAGTATTATATTATATTACGCGTAAAAAAAAAATTGATTTTTTAGTGTCGTTGTAATTTAAATGAAAATTATTTAATTGTTTCTTCCTCTTTGTTTCTTTCAGTATTTTCTCTCTTTTTTTGTTTTTTTTTTAAATATATCGCCACAAAGAAAAAAAATGCAATTTATAAAAAGAGAATTTTGATATTCCAGCGTTAAACTATCACAGCCTGTAGAATAAAACATGGCTGCCTTTTTTCCACGCGTGTGAAACGCAACACGCAACGATCTCGCTGAACGTATTTATAATGCACTCGCTTGCCAAGCATTTAATACACCTTTAATTCCTCTGTAACCCGTCACGATCGTTTCCGAATTTTTATGTTAATACAAGCCCTGCAAAGTTGCATGGACTTCGACTACAATGTTATTTTGTCTCTGCACAGAGGTACGAAATAAACGAACTTTTTATACGAAAAAAAAAAAAAAAAAACGATTCTCTTTCAAACAATTTTAAAATAATTTTAAGAAAATGTGATAATTGGATAAATTTTATTTCGTTCAACTCGCCTTTATTGTTTCGAATGATCGAACGAACTCCTGAAATCAGAAGAGTATCGATCGAGGTACGTTGTCCCTTAAATAAGTGTACATCGATTAGAAAGAACTCGTAAAGTGCGTTACGATGATGGCACTCTTGCGAAAGCGAGATAATTTTCGAGGTGAGAACAAAAAAAGGCAACAAAATGCTTGATAACAAATAATAGTAACGAAGAATTGCCTTTTCTTAATACTTTTTTGAAAACACGGAATAAATAATAATTATCTTTGAAAAATAGATCTTGAAAAATAGATTTTGTCGCTTTCACAATCGTGTCGCCAATTGAAAACGGTGAGTTTCGCATTTCACTTAAATATCTCCAAGAATTAGTACCAAGAATTACGGATTTTGGTCTCGAGTTCGCCACCGTTGCACGCTGGGCGACCAACTTTTAAGTACACTTTAATTCGATTAATATAATGTATACGTAAATACATCTTCGTATAGAATAACCATAAACATCTCGAAATTTGCATCAATTTCATCGTATACTACTACATTTGTAGACAATTTTTTTTTTACGTATCTGAGGATATTATTAGCTTTGAAAATTTCTCGAAGAGAAAAGCATATATCAGAGTACAGATATATTTGAGAACAATACTCTCGAAAGTTCCTTATTTTTCGCTAATAGACACCACAAGAATGGAAATTACGGATAATCGGATAATTCTTTTATCTAAAATACTCTCTCGACAGTTTCGTTTTTTGAGAGTATTTATAAGCATTACGAATTGCATTAAGAAAATTATTGTTTGTCAATCCATTAGTGTCCATTAATGTCTATATAAATAACTTTCGAAAATAACTCTCGAGAATTTTACACTCAAACACATTCGTATCTTTACACGCATATTAAGTAGAAGAAATTAAGATCGTCTGCTTTGCAGCTTCGGCTTCTTCATTTCCATGAAACGATAATCAACTCTTAACCAAGAGTTTTACATTTATGATCATTTCGATATTCATAAGTCAAGATATATGACCGAGAACAGTGTATAAAAGAAATTTGAAGTTCGAATAGCATCATATTTAGATTTTCGATTGAACACGCGTTCGAAAGACAGTTAACAAAGAAAATCGAGCGATATTTATACTTGCGAATAATCTGTCAAAATAATTGTACAATACGTCGAAAAGAAAAGAAAAGAAGAAGAAATTATCTTTCGATCAAAATCACACGAATTCAACGTTCTATCGGAGAATGGAATAATGAACATTCGTTTATCATGAGAATCACCCACGAGATTGCACGACCTTATTTCTTTAATTCTCAAATGATCCCAGTTTAATGATCAATTCGAATGAGATTGATTTAAAAGTTATCTACTCTTGTGATCCATCAATAACTGTATATAGAGTGTTCAAAAGTAGAAAGAAAATTTAAAGAATGAAAACCAAAAAAAAAAAAAAGAACTATGATATTTGATATACAAAAATGTTGATATACGAATGCAATAAATAAGTTTTTGTCCTCATTTTTGTATACCCATTTTTATCTCAGTCTCTTTAAATTCTACTTTTCACTGATAAATAAGTAAGTACACACACACATACATATACATATCTCGTAGAAATTGGAATCACATCTGGGATCAATTGTCCGTGAGAAAAGCGAGGAAGCTGTTTGATCGACAAGCTCGCGTGGAACGAAGTACAAAGCAAACGAAACACAGTGATCTACAAAGTGTTGGAAATCGAAACAGAGTGAAATACGATAATTACAGCTTGCATTCGGATTAGTATAACAAATAGTAGCTCCTTCGTAAAGGAAAAGCCCCACTCCCAGATATTCCATGGGTAAAAACGCATTGTCGAGATCTACACCAGCAATTGTCCAAGAAAGACCGAGTCCACGAATCGCGTTCCAAATCCATCACCATCTCCTCGAATCTCGCTTCGAGATTCTCGTTACCGGCAATCGGTAATATCGAGGATATTTTCCAACGCGTTCACCGATCATCGCCAATTTCTCTGCATCGATGGTCGACGAGCACCGTTCAACGGGCTTGCGGAAGAACCTTGTGCAGATCGAGGATAACGAAGACGAGGCAAGAACGCGACAACGTTTCGTGTAAAGTGCGTGGACGGGACAACAGAGTGTCGAAGACATCACAGAAGCGCGCGAATCTGAAGCTAGTGGGCCTTGTAGGTGTCTTTGTTTTGATAGCCCTGCACGTAACCGGATTGGTCGGGTATGTCCTTCCGCCCGGCGATACCTTTCCCCTTTCCGCTTTCGTCGAATCGTTGCTTGTGCGACCCCGTGTACTTGCTCACGTCCGTGAGTCTGTCCACTGTGGAGGCCGCTTTTCCTGTCTGAAAATTAGATAAATGATAATGAACAGGTAACGATAAATATTAATTTGGTATTCGGTTGTCCATGATTGAAAGAAAAAGAATTTCATCCTATTCTCGATGGGAATATGTGTACTTTTGTACACATCGAGTAGTAAAATCTATTTCGTATGATATAAATTTGAAGGATATAAAAAAAAGAGAGAGAAAGAATTTTAAATTCCAAATAACAGGAAAATGATGAATTTTGAACGTGTATATTTGTACATTTAATATTTGTAAAATGGCAAATGTTTTAGATTGCAATTTGTATTTCTTAGCAGTTTTTTTCGCGGGAGACACTTAGCATAGTTGAGAAACATTGACCTAATTAAAACGAAGGACGCACATACGTAGGCGAGAATTTAAGATTCATCGCTGGAAACGATATATCCATAGGTCAGGACTGGCGACGTCATAAATTTTCAGTGCCGATAACGTGACAAGCAAGGACACGATATTCGATACACAAGCTATTTCTACTTTGGTTAGACTTATGAAATCGTGATGAAACTTGTTGTCATCGATCACGTGTGGTATAAACTCTGACCCTGTCTCCTATCTTTGCTTTGTCGGTAAACACGTGGAATCGACGATAAACTTTCGGATTTAATATTTCAATTTACAATACTTACTCCACCAGCACCGGCTGAGACTCCAGGTGGTCCACAATTCGCCATCTTCTTCTTCATCTCCGCTGGATCGACCTTCTTACTTTTCGCCAGCTCGTCCAAGAACGATTTGTATTGTTCAATGCCTAATTTCATGGATCTAGAAACAAAGTCGATACCGTAATTTTAATCCTATAACAAATCACAGCCATTTTGGATTTCGTTTGTATTTTACAAATTTTTTTTTTTTTTCTTCTTTTTTTACACAAATTGTCGAAAATCAATATCTACCACTACGAACTCCATTTAATTTTTAATATCGCATTGAACATTTAATAAAAACAATTCTCGTACTTGTGTTTCTTGAAGTAAATCCCAGTATCGGTAGTGGTGATCTTCCTTCCGTCGATCACCTTCGCCTGTTTCATCCATTTGTCGCTCTGACTCAGAGTGATCAGCTTCCCGTCGCTTTTCGGGTCGCCGAATTTCGAGAAAGCCTTGAAACTTTGCAAAAAGCTGCCAGACTGCGCGGCGCTTGGACTGCTAGGCGTCAATCTTCCCGTCTCGTTCTCCTCGATTTTCAAATTCGCTACGCATTCGGTCGCCTCCTTGGTGGCACCGTTCGTTTCCGCTTTGTCCTCCCCTTTCTTCTCCCCTTCCGCGTTACTTTTCTCCGCCTCTTCGTTCTTCTCTACCTTTGCGTCGTTTTTCTCAGTTTCGTTATCTGCCTTCTCGGCTTGCATGCTTGCGCCTGCAACAACATATCACGCGACATAGATCAGAGAAATTTCGTTTCTCAATACGCGGGTTGACACGAAGAAGTTGAAAAAGGCATCGCATGATGCAAAAATGGTTTTATCAAGTTTTGTGTTTGTG